TATCTCAAATGTGACGTAAAAAAAAATAATTAAAAATAAAGAACTACCATAAAGCGATCCCCGCTTCCAAAAGATTGGAAAACAAATTTTTCTTCTATTATAAAATTTTCAAGTCGACATTCTCGAATGGTGCTATTGTAATGTAAAAAAAAAAAAAAATCTGTGATTGTGAGAAAAAAATTTAATCATAAAAATGTGAAGCAAAAATATCGAAAATATAAAATCTTCAAGTTGATACATTTAATCTACATCAAGGAATTTTAATCTTGATGAATTAAATCTACTGACAAGCAAAATATTTTCAAAAAAGTAAATTTGTTAATTAACTTAAAATTTTTTTTTAAATATGAAATAAGTGATATATAAATAAAATATTCATTCAAGTTAAATGTGACTTTTTCATAAAAGTATAAGAAACATATATTTTATTTTAATCTTAAAAAAAACATCAGTTCTTGAGTATTTCTTTATTTATTCTTTCATTAAAAAAGTTTTTCTAGAAAAGATTTTAGATCTATTGCTAACAAAAAGTGTAAAAAAATCGTTTTCTAAAAAGTGCGGGTGTAAGCAGTTTTCGACTGAAAAAAATATTCAACATTTGTTTTTAATGTAAACTGCGTTTAAACTTTTCTATTTGCGAAATTTTTAATTGTAATTTCACTTTCCTAAAATTTCCAAAATAGTTATAAATTATTAACATAATTAATTAACTGCATTCAACTAACCACACGATTTTTTCTAGCTATTTTTTTTAGTTATTAATAATTTAATTAATTACTTTTTAATTAAAATAGTATGATTTTTCAGCGCACCTAAGATCTTGCTAATAACGAAATTCTGATAAAAATATTTTTTATCAAACACTTAGTGTTTTCATACAGCAAGATTCTACTCCCAATAACTAGCTTTGATTTAAAATGTTATTTGTTTTTTTTTTTTTAACTTTAAAAGGGGATGAAGTTTCACATGTAGCATCATAAACATGAAGATCTTAGTATATACACCTATTCAGGAAAGGAAATGCACCAAGGCAGAGTAATGAACCTGAGAAACCGGTTACATCCTTGCATACTCTTAGTTAACTTTCGCATCTATACTTACGGTACATAAACTATTGATAGTTTAAACCAATGTAAAATTACTTGCACATAATTACAAACTTTTTATATTTATAATCAATTAGACAAATAAATAAACAAAATATCGATAGTAAATCAGAGTCTTCAAACTTCCTGTGTATATCAGCAGAAAAAAAAGTTTTGAATATACTTTTTTGATTATGCTGAAGTAAAAATTTTTTAAAGATTTTGTTGGTATTTTAAATGAAGAAACTTATTCCTAAATGAAACATATAAAATTGTTAAAAGAAAACAAAATGATTGTTAGCTAAAAATTTTTTTTTGAATGAAGAACTTGATTGTATCGATCGCAGATAATAAACTCTTGAATTAAGAGACAATAGTTCTTAACCGAAGATATTAGTCTCTCAAGTCAAGATGATGAGATTCAAGGTAAGAAATTCTTGAATATACAATTGCTTGTCTTCAGAATAAATTTCTTGGATCAAGATAATTTTTCTATCAAACTGCGAGAAAAAAAATTTCTTTCTGTTGTAATAATTTTAATTCAAAATTGTTTTTTCGGAATCTAGAAAATTTTTCTTTAATAAGAAAGTTACTGTGAGAAAAATTTTGATTTCTTCAGCTAAGAAATAACATTGTGGAAAATTTTCAATAAAATAATTTCTTATTACAACATTGGTCATTTTTTTCAAAAAAAAATTTTTTTCTCTCAGTGCAATACAGGAGATTTCTTCATGCATAGATTTACTTGTAGTTATAACAATATTAAAAGTCTATTATTGACGAACTGATTAGAATGAACAACTAAGTAATCAGTATAGTAAATTTTATACTATTTCTTCTTTAAGGAAAGTCCAGCAGCAACAATAGTTGTGGATAAAAAAATTATGCAAATTGCATTTAAAGTTAAAACATTTTCAGAAATTATGAAACTTTTAACAATAATTATTATTCTGTAAAAATTTCAAGTATTATTTCCGCAATTATTTTTAAAAAATATCGATTTATATTATTCATTTATAGACCTATGAATAACTTAGCTATTTATCACTTTTTAAACTCAAAACTGAATTTAAATCGTTCGGAGTTTATTTATTTTTTCTAAAACTGTTTGAAAATGTTTATATTCTTTTAACTTTTTTAATTATTGCATTAATAATTTCCTTAATAAATTCTAAATAATTTATACGTTTGAATTAATTGAAATTTTATGATATTTTTTATTTTTAATGAACACCCCATTATATATTTAAATATTTATAATTTCATAATTTAAATATTATTATTCGACAAAAGCTACACTAAAACCTTATTCATTTAAAATTAGTCCTACATTTTTAACCACCGTGATATGTAAGCTCCACTTGCATTATTAAACAGGAAGATAAAATTCAAATGAATATTTTATAAATAAATTAACAATAAACTGTTATTTAAAATTAATATTCCTAACAGGGATATTATTCATCTCCATAATTGTAAAGAGATTGAAGCTAATTAAATTAAGAGAAAACTCATTTTCAATACCTTGACACAGATTGTCAGAATTGAATAACAAAAAAAGGGATGACGAAAGTAAAATAAAAAAATACAGCAAGCGCATTTCCGGTTCTCTTTTTCGTAAACGGTTGCAGGCTCAGAGCAGACACAATAAAGGAGATACCAATACAAGGAAGATAGGAAAAAAATAAAAGCCCCAGAGGCTGTGGATGCTCTCTGGGTAAGAAGAAAACATAATAGGGTGGGGCGCTATGCTGCCGTTTTTGAATCGATCGCGAGAGACTACAGCTGGGAAACTCATTCTACCTCCCGCACACATTAACAGAGGTTCTCACTTATCAATTGCTTGTATCAATTGCATTACGAATAATGTAATTAATCATTTTTTAATCTTGGTACATATGTTTTGAGAAGAAAACCTACCGCTATTACGGAGAATCGATCCAGGACTGTTTGCTTCCAATGGACTATTTGGTTCTTCTGTACTAGGTTCTCTCTTTATACTAAAAATAAATAAAAAATCATTATTATTAATTATTCAATATTAATTAACAATTAAAAAATTGAAATTCGATTGCTTGCAGAATTACTGAGAATAAATTTTTATTTTTTATTAATATCTTCATAAAAACTTAAGCTCAGTAATACCGAAGCTTACTATCAAGCAAAAAAATAAAATTGGAGCAATAGTGTGAAAGGTCCTGTGATAAAGAAGAACTGACCTACTTTCCAATTAAACTACCTTTTTTACCTTGGCTACATACGCGACAAGGTTGTACATACAATAGTAATGAAATTGAGAAAAAAAAAAAAAAAATAGATCAGTTAAATAAACAAAATGATGTACGTCCTTGAGTTTACTTTTAAGAAGAAATAAAAAAAATTTTTTGTTAAATAAACTTTTTTACATAATTTGATTGTTTATAATTAAAGATTTCTTTACATGCTATATTTCAAGCCCTATTATCAACGGCAAATTGTGCAATTACATCAATTTAACACTTCATCTATCGACATATTGAAAATTGATTATTAAAAGTCGTTTTATAGCAGGAACAAAAAAACGGAAATTACTCGCGTTATGAATATCTTACACGTGCTGAAATTAAAATTAATAATTTAAATCTACAGAAAATTTACAGGACTTTTATTGGCAAACTTTTAATCTGTATTTTGTAAGTTTTTTAATTAAGTATAAAAAGTAAAATGAATTAGTTGAAAAATAAAATTATATAAAGAAATTGTTTTTAAATAAATATCGTATATGTAAGTGGATTTATTGATTTACTGTTAAAAATACAACGAATAATAGCTAGCTTAATTTTATGTAAATTTCAATAGAAATTTCTTATCTCTACTAAACAGGTACGTAGAAAAGCTCAATAATGAAAATTAAATATAATTGAAGGGTTTGTTCGGTAAAAAAAAATTGAAACTTTAAAACTTTGAATAATTTATTAAGTTACAGCAGTGTAATTTAATCTGCAAAAAAATTTCGTCAACTCAAGGTTACTCAATCGGATTGACTTGTACTCGAGCTTTATAATATTCGATCGAATAACAAATGGTTTTAAAGGGGAATCAGGTAAAAAGGAAAATCACCCAATTGATTAAGCTTTAAAAGAAACTTTAAATAAGAATTGAAATATAAAATATAAACCTGATAAAAGTTGAATCCACAGCTGGACTAGACGGTCTCGGTGATGAGCTTGCGTTAGAGACAATGTTAGTTTCCTCAACGTCCATCATATTTCATGTCGAAGAAGGTTGAATTTTAAAAGGAAAAAAAAAAAGTAACAATCACCTATCAGATAATTACACTAATAAACAAAATAAAACTGAGTGTGTGAGTGGATAAAAAAAATAAAAATAATTAATGTAGCCTTCACAAAGGAGCTTAAACCAAGTGGGGGGGTGAACTTCACACGCCCGTCCGCGTGCGCGGGCTCACAAGTAACAACTGACAAACGATATTTCCCCCTCTTGCAATGATAATCAACCCCTTGAACAACCCTGCGCTCTTGCTTGCTAGCAGGTACACCTGCTGATTCAATGTTTTAATGATACGCCGGCGCAATCCAAGACGATGTTAATATTTATTTCCTATTTTTTCAATTTCACCTTACACATTTCTGTGAAATTCAATACAGAAGTCTCCTTAAAAATAAGAAAATTTCAAGACATTTTTTTTTTTTTTTTTTTAACAAGAATTATTTATTTTTAATTTTCGACAAATATTTACATTGATTAATTATTATTTCAATTGAAAAATTAACTATAAATTAGATTTTCAAATAAACATTTCGTGGTCTTAGCTCTAAGATCAATTAATGATGATAAAATTGATGAGATTATTGTTAATGTACAATAACTTAGAAAAATATAGCTATTTTATTATTTGTCTAATTGATATCTTAGTTATTTTTTTGTGATTTCTTCAGTGTCAGAAGTTGATGAATTTTTGGCTAAATGGAATTCTCGAGCAAATGTTTCGCCGACTAGTAACGGGAAAATAAGAGAAGCTTCAGCGTATATCTATAAGTAAAATAAATTAAATTGAATTAAAAAGAAAAAAATAAATAAATATAAATATAAATTACCTTAACAGGAGTCGCAGTTTTACGAATTTTTCCCCACGATACAGCTTCATCTGGTCGTGCACCACTATCACTACCGTCAAATTCAGACGCAGTATTTAAAAATACAGCAAAGTCTGCACCGTTTCTCTGAAGAATAATTTTTTTAAATAAAAAAATTCAATAAATTTAGTGTATGATACTTTAGTAATTTTTTTATTAAAATTACCATTAAATTGGCGTTACAGATATGGTGTTTAATAACTCCACCTCCAATTATAATTATTCCAGTATTTATTGCTTTAACGGCAATCGTATTAAGTCGTTTTAAATCTGTAATAATAATTCAATATTTGTAATTAAACTTTAAAATTATTAAAGAAAACAAACAACTATACCAGAAAGAATGTCAACGACAAGTCCTGGGTTTTTAAACGAATGAAAATACATCATATCTCCTAGACTACCATCGGTTAAAGCTGGACTGAAAATAGGAATTTTATTTTTCGCTGCCCAATAACAAATTGATTCTTCGTTATTTATTTCTTCACCAAGTCGTGTTATTATTTTTGACGGACTCCACAACATACCCTAAAATATAATCATTAAATGATCACGATCACAAAATGAAATCGCAACTAAAAAATTAGAATTAGTGATAAAAAATATTTACTTTTTCCTCTTGATCTTTGAGCATTTTATCTAATTTAGGCATCAACCAGTCTTCAAATAAACAATAATTGCTATTTGGAACAATCATATTTCCTATTCTATTTAATCCCTTATCACGAAGATTTTTACCATCGTATTCAAATTTACCCAAGTAAGTTGGTGCTAAACATTTTATCAGATCCTCTTCTACACCACCAGCTGTTGTTACAATACAATCAACCTTTAAAGTGGATTTATTAAACAATAGTACTTAGAATAATTTTAAAAAATTTTGTCTAGTCAAAAATTAATTTGAATAATGTAATAAATAATAAATACCATTTTATGCTGTACTAAAAATCGTATAGATTCTCGTACGCCACATGATACCATATTTGACGTATATCCTAAAAACATGGTGCAAGAACTTTGTCTTTTTATAAATTCATCTTGTTCAAAACTATCGATTTGATCTACGCTTAATGGTATCTTTTTACAGTCCATCATTTTTTTTATTTCGTCTACTCCCAATCCAAAATTGGTAGCTTGAAAACCAGACAGTTTGTAGCTTTCAAATAAATTGTGATAGTCGATACCTTTATTCCAGTCATATCCTGAAAATGATTAAAATTTATAGCTTTAGAATTTTAAATCTACTATACCCAAAAGAAATCGTAAAATTAAAATTTTATTTTTATAATAAATCAATGAAATGATACTATAATTAGACGACATTCAACAATTTTTTTTTTTTTTTTTTATTAATTAAATTAGAACTAAAAAAAATATTTTTAAAAATTGCAGGCATAATTTTTTAAATTTTCGACGTGAAATTTTTCTTTTTTAATTGTTTTAAATTAATTTTTCAAAAAAATAAATTATAAAAATTTTTAAATGTCAGCTAATTTAATTTTCATATCAGTTACATTAAAAAAAATGCTTTAAAAAATTTTCACTAATAATTTTTTTTTTTTATATGTGGAATTTTTTTATTAAATTTTTTTCAGTCATAAATTTGCTAATTAAAAAAATTTTTTTTGAAATTAACTTGCAAAAACATGAAAAAATTATTAATGCAATTCAAAAAAATATTTGCTTGCAAATTTTCAAAAAAAAAATTGTAAAAAAAAAATATTTGTAAATTTTAGTTTTATAATTAAATTACCTTGAATTTGTAGGATGTCACCGGGTAAAGGGACACTTGACATCAAAACGGCATTCTTTGAACTAGTTAGAACGTCATCATTAATAGCTTGGCTATCCATAATTTTATTGTTGATAAAATTAAGCAATATTTTACTTGAATTTTGATTTCGTTCTTTCTGTTGTGACTTTTTCATATAACCTCATACAACATATATTTTATATGAGTTTTCATGCATAAATCGTCAAGTGTAAATATACACAATGTCAAATAAATTTTAAAAGAATTAGAACATTAAATCAAAAGTTAAATAGAATCATTAATAATTAATCATCATTGCTTAATAAAAAAAATGTAATAAATTTAAAATTTACAATACACATCCACGTTTTGACGTGAGTTTGTTTATTAATTTGCAAAGCAGTCACCACTAGCGTCCACTTGTGGTTATGCTCATCAATACTTTTTAAACTAACTTACCGTTGGACTAAGATTTACCATAGGCGAATAAAAAATATTATCAAGTATTTTATTAAGATTTGAGTGCCATCTATAAGCCATTGGAAGCTTAAAGTTGAGTGTTAGCCGTGATAATAACTAGTCGTTAGTAGACATACATAACATAAAGTTCGTTGGAAAAATTAAATTTATAAATAGTAAATAGAATAAAATATAAAATGACCGGCTGTTCAGTTTCTGGGTGTTATAATTCAACGAAAAATGGATCTGCTATGAAGATATTACCTCGCAAAAACGTGCCTAGAGAAAAATGGATAAAAAGTATTAGCCGTTCCAAGTGGTCACCAGATGAATATACATATTGTGTTTGCGAGGTATAATATCACATTATTTCAATATTGACCAATATTTATTTCTAATAAATCAATTTATTTAATGTTATATAATTGACAGTTTGATATAAGTACTCATGACAATCAATTTTTGTAGGAACATTATTCAGCTTATAAGGCTGTAACGCTTTGTTGTGATGGTAAGCAAGATTTTGACTCATGTGCTGTGTCTACTATAGAACCACAACCGAATTCTCCAACCACGAATAATAAGGTGTATATTTTTACGATTTTTTATTTTTATATATCAATGATATCTGATCAAAATTTCATTACTTTTGGTACTCAGCTCCATTTTTAGTCTTAGTTCTAACCTTTAAACGGTAATATGTCACATACAGGTCGCTATAACAATTTTTAATTCCAAAAATTTGATTTGAATTTTTTAATAGCTTCTTAACTAATAAATTTTAATTGATTTCATGTATTTTATAATTTCTTTCAAATATTGAATAGTTTTGTTTTTACCCTAATAGCCATCCAATTGTAAAAGTTAACGTTAAGTTGCAGTCCAACTTTTATACAATCTAGGGCCGAAATTTGACTTTAACTTTTATCAAAATGTTTTAGTAAAAGTCTTAATGTGAAGTTTTAGTGAAGTTGGACAAAATGAATGAAAACACTCATTGATATGCCAGTTTATCAGAATTTGTCTCTTTTTTACATCGGTAGGTAATTTATCGGTAAAAAAAACGAAGCACAGTAAAAATTTTTAACTACTGGCGTGACAAAAAAATTAATATTTTATTGTTAAACCGGGGATTCGAACCCGAATCGCCTGGTTCCTAGCCAAGCTCACTATCAGATGAGCTATCTTCGACTCATACCATCAATGCGTTTTCAGTCACTTATATCTGACACAATATTTTTATAATGTAAAAAATGTAAAATTGTATTTGCAATTATGAATATAAAGTGAATGAATTGAATTAATTTAATAGTTTTTTGTTTTTAGCTAGGACATTGAAGTTAGTAATCACTTGACTATTTTGTAATTTTTTTTTAACAAATAAATTAATTCCAAAAAATTATTTATAATAAAATTACATTTTTTATTATTATAAATTTCTACAAATGTCAATTTTTTTTTTTTCTAATTATTTTTTACCATAATTTACTTGTTAAAAAAAATTCCTAAAATTATCAAATGTCAGCTAAATTAATTTTCATTATTTGCTTCAAAAATGTATAAAATAAGTGTTTCAATAATTTATTAATAAAAATAAATATCTGAAATTATGTGATGTTTAATTTTCTTGAATATAAAAATACTCTGAAATCTTTGATAAATTTATTTACAAAGTATTAAAATTTTTTTTTATCGTCCTATTATTTTTCATTAATTTTTTATAAGAATTCTTACGAAAAATAAGAAATCACTTAAGTGATTGACAATTAACCTGCAAAAAACTTTTTTAAATCATGGTTTGCTAATCAACTTAAAGGTCCGAATAAAAATAACTTAAAGTAACATTAATTTTTCTATGAATTTTACAGTAATTTTTTTTTAAATATCATTCTAACTTAACAATAACTTTTTTATAGATAAAAAGTATGAAAATTAAATTAGCCGACATCTGAAAATTTTTATAATTATTTTTATTAAAAAAATTGTTACTATAAAATAAAAAGAAAAAATTTCACATGTAGGAAATTTGAAAAATTATGAATGCAATTTTTTAAAATTATTTTTTTACTTGCAATTTGATTGTTAAAAAAAATAGAAAAATTTTTAAACGTCGGCTAACATCAGTATCATATTAAAAGTTGGTTAAAACTTGGATTGAAATTGCGGATTAAATTTTAATTTTTTTGAAAAATTAGTAGTTTTATTATTATTATTATTATTATTATTATTATTATTATTATTGTTATTATTTAAACTAATGAAACTTTTTTTTTTATTTTAAGATGGAGTTAACTAATTCAAATGCCTCCGATTCTTCCACTCAACTTCAAAATGTTCGAATAAAACATCTAAAAAATAATGAAGCGTCATTATCAGATAGTGAATCAACAGAATTTGAAGTAGTAAGTACAAATAAAACTTTCGTCTGACTAAAATTACTAATGAATTATTTATTAATTTCAGATTGAAGAAATAGAATACGAAGTTATGGAAGAAGAAGAAGAAGAAGAAGAAGAAGAAGAAGATGATTGTGCTCAAAGTTCTGATAAAGACTCGGAAAAAATGATGATAGCCAAAATTAAAGAAGAATTAACCCAAGTGAAAGAAGAAAAACTAGCCGAAGTAGGGGACGAAGATAATAGCAGTGATCAGGAAATAAAAGAAGAATCAATGAATAATTGTAAACCAAATTTTAACAAGGATCAAGAAAAAATAAGTAACATTTGTAATAGCTGGTCTAAACATTCGAAAAATGTAACTAACAGCACAGAAAAGCTGTTAAAAAATCAAGAAAATTTAACACTGAATACAGATGACTCGTCTCAGAGTGATAGAGATTGCAGTCGATTGCTAGAATATTTTTCTGACAGTTCACAAAATTCAAATTACAATGAAAAAAAATTATTTAATAGTCAAAGGCTTTTGACTGTTAAGAATGAAAGTTCATCGGTTACTTACACAACTTCGAGTAAGAATAAGACAAAATTGATTAAAAGTCAAGGAAGTGATAAAAATATTAAACTACATAGTAATAAGATATTATTAATTAAAAAAAAAAGTAAAATTGCACCCAAACAAGAAAGTTTAATTAACCCTGATGATGAAGAATCTCATCAGAGTACGAATAAACTTTATCTGAGTGGAGGCAATTTAATATATGATTCGAAAGAAAAATTACATCAAGAGCTTGAAAATACAATTAAACAAAACATTAAATCAATACAAAGTCTTAAAAAAGACTTAACATTGAACCAGTCCGAAAAAAAATGTAAAGCAAACGTGAATGAAAAACAAGGAAATTCAATTAAAAATCAAGAAACAACTCGGATTGTTCCAAACTCGGTTGCTAATCTTCAAAATAAGTTGTTTTTAGTAGTTAAGCCAGAAAAGCTACCACAAAATCAAGAAACTCTACCCCAGAATTATGCCAGGTTAAACAAAAATCAACCTAATTGTAATATGAGTAGTGACAAAATACTTAAAAACCAAGTAATTCTAATTAAAAACGAAAATAACACACAGGAAGCACCAGTAATATCAAAGGTAAATGGAACTAACCCAGTAAAAAATCAAGTATTTTTAATTAAAAACCCTCCTAAAGTTCCGGAAGCGCAAGAAAATTTGAAACAGACTGGAGTAAATCTCGTAAACAATCAATTATTTTTAATTCTTAAACAAAATGCGCCACCGCAAAATGAGCAAACTTCTGATAAAATCGGACAAGAAATATCGCAAATACAAAATTACACTGTTCAAAGTCAAGATAATTCAGATGGTAACAAACGAAAGTTACGATCAATGACAAAGAAGGAGACTGAAAGTAATAAAAGGGTTTGTACAGATGATGATAAAGAAAAATTACCTACCCATTCAGAAAAATTAATTGAAAATCGTAGAAAGTTAAGTCAATATTTGCAGTATTTAAATGAAGCTAGTAAAACTGTGGCTGAATATAAAAAAAGTATGATAAGACAAACTGCTTCGGAAGAAACTGCCAAAAATGATAAAAATACTGTGGAAGAAAAAACAAATGAAATTGATGATGATCCATTCAGTACCAACGATCCAGAGCAATTTTCGATGGTTAATACACCAGTGTCAACATCAATGTCCACCTGTAATAATGGGACTATTAATGATAATAACTGCAATAATAATGACCACAGCAGTAGCAGTAGCAGTAATAACAACAATGATATTAATATTGATAATAATAATAAAAATAGTAATGATAAAGATAAAATAACTTACATGAATCAACTAATAGAAAAGCAACAACAACTTCTTCGAGTGTACAGGAATAAACTTGGTTTTGCAAGGTATAAAATAAAAGATCAAGAAGCTAAGTTGGAGTTGTGGCGAACAATGATGGAAACAATTTTCAATGAAGATCAAATCAGCTATTTGGAAGCAATACAATCCCAAAAAAAGCGCTGCAAATGTTGGTCAGCTGCTACAATTAAAGATGCGATTGATATTAAAAATATTGTAGGTACAGTTGGTTACGAAGAACTTTTAAGGCGAAAATACCCGTTTCCCGCATTAAGAACATTGAGAGAAAAAACACAAAAATCAAAAGAAGATGAATAAATTATATTTTAATAAAAACCTTGAATAAAATTATTTTATATTGTGATAGATAAATTGTCATTGTTAATTGTATAATTTTTCATAATACTAAAGTTAGCCGACGTTTTTAATTTTTTGATTTTTTTTCAATTGTTAAATTATGATAAAAAAGTATTTTTTAATAATTGCACTTAGAGATTTTAAAGTTTTTTACAAATGAAATTTTTTGTAGTAATTTTTTCAATAAAAAAAAATTATAAAAATTTTTAGATGTCGGCTAACTTAATTTTCATAGATTTTCATAAGTTTAGTTTCTATAAGTTTTATAATTCATATGGAGTAAAAAGGGTAAAATATGATACTGAAGTTAACAGACATTAGAAAAGTTTTTATAATTTTATAGCAATGAAATTATTATAAAAAAAATTTAATAAAAAAATTCCACTTGTGAAAATTAAAAAAAAATTATTAGTGAAAAATTTTAAAAGCATTTTTATTACTGTAATTGATTTGTTATAAGAACTTAAAAAATTGACAGCTGTCAGTTAACTTCCGTATCATTGTAAAAAAGTTTTTAAATAAAATTATTTTGTTTAATGATGATGTCCTCTTTTACGTTGTTTTTAAAAATTGTAAAAATGAATGATATTGAAATTTTTGGAATTTTTATAATCAGTCAATTATTGTCAAAAAAAGTATTTTCAAAAATTCGCACTGAAAATTTTTTTTAATTTCTACATGTGGAATTTTTTTGTTGAATTATTTTCATTATAATTTAATTGTTAAATATTTAATTTATTCAGAGTCAATTTAAAAAAAAAAGTGTCAGCGACATTTATACCATAATTAAACGTTTCATCGTTTTTTCTCACGGAGCGCTACTGTCAAAATTCTATACACACCTCCTATGCACTCCTATGTGTAACAATCATAACAATTTAACCGCTGATGTTTGTTGATAATGACAGAATTCTAAAACTTAGGTTACATTATTAGTCGTCAACAAAAATAGTAATAAAGAATTAAAAAAAATGGGTTTGTTAACAGACCCTCGAGCAGGGAATATGAAAATAATAAAATTTATTTTACAATGGCAAAAACTAATATGTTTTCTAATGTATATTGCCGGTGTAACATGGATTTCAGTTTTAGCCCTGCCTGTTTTTAATGACAGTAAGTATTTTCTAATAAAAATTCAAATATTTATAATAAAATTTATTTTTTAATTTTATTTAAAATTAATTAAAAAAAAAAATTTTATCGTAAAAAAGTAGACATCAATTAACAAAAATTGTAATTTTAATTTTTCAGATACATATTTTTCTGAGAATGCATTATTACCTGGCTTAGTAACTAAACAAAGTAATTTAGATGCCAGTGCAAAACAATTTCACCAGGAATTACTTCATGAAATGAAACGATATCCTGATGGGATGCCTTATTCCTGGATTTTAGCTAAGATGAATCAATTACATTTAGATGTTTATACTCACAATTTTACATTGAATTATCCATTCAAAAAACAACAGTTTCTGGGACAAAATGTTTATGGAATTGTTCGAGCACCTAAAGCGGCCAGTACTGAAGCAATTATTGTCAGTGTACCTTATAGGCCGATTAGCAGTGCACATTTAACGACAGCACCTTCAATAGCGCTGTTACTTGCTTTTGCTAAATTTTGTAGGAGTAAGTATTTGCTAAAATAAACAAGATTTAAAACAACACTGAAATTAGCAGACCCTTGAAAATTTTTTGATTTTTCTTGAAGAATAAACTAGATCTAAAAAGTGTTTTTAAAAAATGGCATTTATAATTTTTTTAAAGTTTCTAAAGACGGAATTTTTTTAAATAAATTGTTCTTGCTGTAATTTGTTTGTTAAAAAAATTTTTTTAAATTATCAGATGTCTCTCAATTTCAGTATTGTGATTTAGAGTATTGAAAATTATAAATAGATGTAAATTAAATTAAATGTTAATTTATAGTTTTAATTTGTTAGAGCAAAAATATTGGGCAAAAGACATAGTATTCCTTGTAACGGAACATGAGCAATTGGGTATGCAAGCTTGGTTAGATGCTTACCATGGAGTTGTAAGTGGACAAGAGGATGTGTTAATACCAGGAGATTTATCAGGGCGAGCTGGCTCCATTCAAGCTGCAATAAATCTTGAATTACACGCTATGAAAATTTCATACATTGATGTTAAAGTACACTATTTTTTACATTATTTATAATCACTGAATTTTAATGAATGAAAAATTAAAAAATTAATTTACTTTGTTTTTTAATAGGTTGAAGGCTTGAACGGTCAATTACCAAACTTAGATCTATTTAATCTCGCTCAAAATATGATTAAAAAAGAAGAAATACGTCGATCATTTCAACAAAAGTTTGATATTTATCATAGAGATAAATTCAAAAGATGGTGGTATTATTTCAATACTTTATCATCAATGATTTTAACTCAAGCAACTGGAGTACCAACTGGAAATCATGGTTTATTTCATAGGTATGATTTTCTTTTGCAAAAAATTTTTTCATTACAAGTTATACTTTTTTTTGTTTTCTCTCTCTTTTTTCAAGGTATGGTATTGAAGCAATTACTCTCGAGGGTTTTGAAAGAACTCACGAGAGAGGAAATGAGGCAAATTTTAATCAACTAGGAAGAGTAGTTGAAAGTATTATCAGATCGTTGAATAACTTACTGGAGCGTTTTCATCAGTCATTTTTCTTTTATTTATTGCCATCAACTGATCGATACATTTCTATTGGTAAAGACAGCTTACTTAGAAATACTTTTTTTTTTTTTTTAATATTACGCTTTCATTAACTTTAAAAAAATTATTTTTCAGGACTATATATGCCATCTTTGGTATTAATCGTCGGTAGTTTATTTATAAAAGCATTTTCTATGTGGTTAAAATTACAAGATTTACCAACGAATTCTGAGAAGGACAAAACTAGCAAAGCTAAATCCACGAACAACCAAGAAAAACCAGCAGAAGATTTTCAAGTGGGAAATTTAGCATCAGAATTATTATGGTGTCATTTATTTGGTGTAGCAGTAATGTCTTCGCCTAAACTAATAACGTCATTAGGATTGCAGTTATTTAATTTAAAAACTGAAGATTCTGTTTATTATGGATTTGCTACTATGACACTTGTCATGTTAATGTGGTTCTTTTTTACAAAAAGGTATGGAAATAATTAAATTATAGTTTTTAGTAAATCAACTTGAAAGTATAAAAAAATTTTTTCTATGAATTTTTAAAAGACTATGCTATTATAATATTTATAAATAATAATTTTTTCATTAATTCCAGGTCATCAAGGTACGAAAATACATCACTTATATGCGTCGTCGTACTTGTAGAATTGGCAACAACTTTGATGTGTATTGGGATGCATAATTTTTCACTAGCATTACTCATAAGTATTATTTACGTACCAATTATTCTTTTTATCAATCCAAGAAAAAAAGAATCAAAATCAAATTTTAGGAAGTTATTGTATTTTTTTTGGACATTACTCCATCCATTCGTAATTGTATCTTTAATTGTGATGGGATATACCTTTGTACATTTTTCTGAAGACCCAATTATGGAAATATTGAAGAAAGGAATAGACGCTTCAAAAAAATCATTTGTATTTAGTATTATAGATTCTATGATTTATGGAAATTGGCTGTATAATGTAGCAGCAAGTGTATTATTTCCAATTTGGCTTATATTATCTAATGTAATTGCGTCTAAAACTGATTAATTCTTCCAAAAATTTAATTTTAAGAAACCGATTCTAGTTTCATTTCAGTCATAATAAATTTATAAATACATTATTAAATTATGACTTGTAATTATTAAATTTTGTTACCATTGAGTTTATTTTTTGTAATATTTATTTGCACGCAAAATATGAGTAATTTAAATTACACAACATTTCTTATCTGATGGATATAAAACAAATTTAATGAACTACTTCACATATTTTTATTTTTTAGTAGCATCACCAAGATAAGTCATTTAGTAATAATAATACAAATAGTAAACAATCTTATGACTGATATTTTTTAACTTCATGTAAGATATCTACATCGTCATCATTTGTGTCACTTAATCATTTTTTTCAATACAAAAATATCATAACAACGGAAAACATTCCAATTAATTTTATTAGTGGTAATAGAAAATTTTAAAATAATTATTAAATATTAAATTATAGTGTATTAAATTATTAATAGAAAGATAGTTTTCAAAATATATTTAAATAGTTTTAGAAAGTCACTAAAAATTATTTGTTAGTTTACTTTAATATTCTTATTGAATTATTTCTCAAGTTTCAATATGATTGTAAATAATACGTCATACTGTAGAGTGTATCTAAATATTGATAACCTGAATGATTAATTGTGTAAAATATCTTGGAGAAATCCAATTGAAAATCTAATTACTAACTTTATAAGTGTCCATAGTGTATCATTATGAAATTATTATTATAAAATAAATTTTTCAGCATATAATTCAATAAAAAATCTAAAAATATCGCTATATTATAAATTTTATCATATAGTTCTTACAATAAGTAAATTTTATAAATATAATTATTTTACCGCAATAAACAAGTTTAACTGAAATTAATCCGTATCAGTTGTCAGATGCATGTATGCACACACAATACGGATTTGGAAGGATTTGAATGTATTACGGTCAAAGACTTTCACCAATAACGTATTGTAATATTAAAATTTATATACTTATACAGTCTTTCCAAGCTTGCCAGTCTACCAAAATCTTCAGTAGATATCATTAAAAAAATATGTAAGTAATACTTTATTATACTTCCAGTTTCTTTTTAAGTTTTATCACTGATGCAATAAAAAAATTTTTTTCAATATCCAAAAATTATAAAGAATAATTATATGTAAATTATTTCAATGAAATAATGAATAATCTCATTAATTTTTTTTTATCAACTTTTCAAACTTTTTTTTACAAAAGCTTAAAAAATTTTTCGATTTAGCGAAATCTAGTGATATATTACTGTTTATAAGTAAGACGAAAAATATATTTGTTTTTTCTTCCTTTTATATTTTTTCCTATAATATTTGGGAGGAATGGTTTTATAATAATAATTTTTTATTTTTTTCAGTTATCCGCAGAATTTTGAAGAATATATTTTATTATACAAAATGGGTAAACCTGAAAATGATAAAAACAAAGAATCTTCAGCCGTAGATTCTTCTTCGTTTGACCATGACTTAGAAGTTACGAAAAATAAAATGTCTAGTACATTAATATTTTATGTCAATGGTAAAGAGGTGAGATTTATTAACAATTCGATATTAAAATCAAAAATATATATATATAATGAGCTAAGTGAAATAATTTGAGTTTAAAAAATTTTAATTTTAATAATTTATATTATAGCAACCTGTTGTCACTTAATTGACATATAATTGACATTTAAAAAGTTTACATAAATATGAATAATTTTTTACTATATCATATTTAATCTGTTATATATCACATATTATGCAAGTGTTTAAGACAATACAGGAAAATGAACGTACGGTCATTCACTGGTAGTAGCAAATATCGAACTTACCAATAAATGACTAGTCAGTCATTTTCTAGCAAAGCACACTTATCAAATAAGCCAGTGAATGACCGACGCCAAATTAATATAAATAAATTATTATGTTAAATTATATCCATCATAGGTCAATTTTAATATTAGTTTATCTACACAAATGTTATAAATTTTGTATTTTGGACAAAAAGTAATTATTTATAACTAAAATTCATAGTTTTCTAAGCAGCCGTTTTCACAGAGTTTTGTCAAAATTTTATAGTTTTCTAGAAGTTCTCGGATTCTCGATATAATTTTTATGAATTTTGAAAATACACTTTTAAATTATTTTAATTCGTGAAGATTAAATATTGAAAAATATATGTAAGATTACAATTATGATTGAGCATTGACAGTTAACTAAATTTTTAAATTTTTATAATCATTATTTTCATTACCGGTCATTCATTGGCGGGCGGTCACGGACTGGACGGTTTACCCTGTACATAGTTTGGGTACTTTTGAAATAAATTTTACAAATAATAGTACTATGACTGGATTAATTACAAATAATTTAATGGACTAATGTAACTGAACAAGCTACTCATAGAACCAACAAGCTATTCAAAATTCCTTCAAAAACTTAACATAAAAAATTGACTATCACTGAAAAATATATAAAACCGTGAAAAGGCGCTATTAATTCTTATCAAAATCTTTCTGCTGATACCAAATTTAACTATGGAAATTCCTTTGAAAATAATAATATATGCTTGTCACAAAGTGTTTCTTACTCTCTCTCAACTATTTAACTTAAATCAGATATGACTTACACTGAAAAAATATAAAAATCAATTTACGATAAAAGATATACCTGTTACAAAATTTATCTTAGTCTCTTAATAATATAAATTGATTCTTTACTCAACTACAGTCACATGTGCAAAACAAAATAAATAAATAAATAAACAATTGGCGTTTATCGCGAAATTCTAATCTATTTAGAATTACTTCGAAAATTTATCACAATAAATTAACTATTGCTGAAAAATATATAAAACATTTTGTCATGTAAATACGCGGAAAACAAAATTTTCCTTATTCTCTTAATTACATAGATTTCAAATAATAATTATTATCACCTGATAAAATTATTTAAACTTGATCACAGACGGTATTATTAGATAACTCATATAATGCGATCTTTTTTTGATAAAGAAGATAAATTTTTATGTAATGAAGATCTCTATATTCTTTTTATTTACACAGGTCATTTAATTAATAACTTATATTGTATTAATATAAACGTATAAATTTCTCTTTGTTTTAGATAAAAGATAGTGATGTAAATCCTGAATGGACCCTTCTGCATTATCTTCGTAACAAATGTATGTCAATTTATTTTCAATATAACAACTCTTGATAAAAAGTTTATTAATAATTTTTTTGTTATTTTCTACAAAGTAAAACTAAGCGGAACCAAGTTAGGATGTGCAGAAGGTGGTTGTGGCGCTTGTACTGTAATGGTATCAAGAATTGACCGAAAAAAAAGAAAAATAGTGTATCCTTTTATTTAAAAATTGTATTTCTTCTCTGTTAATAATTTCATTCTATTAAATTATTTCTTTAATAATAAATCAGTCATTTAGCTGTGAATGCATGTCTTGCTCCAGTGTGTAGCATGCATGGAATGGCCGTAACTACAGTAGAAGGTATTGGAAGTACAAGAACGAAGCTTCATCCAGTTCAAGAACGAATCGCTAAAGCTCATGGATCACAATGCGGTTTTTGCACTCCTGGAATAGTAATGTCAATGTATGCTCTTTTACGGACAGTACCTAAGCCATCAATGCATGATTTGGAGGTCGCGTTTCAAGGTAAAATTTTATAATTAGTTATTTGGATGTCACTAAAGGTATAGTCTAATTCATCGGCTAAAAAAATAGGCAATTTTTGAGAATTTCTCGTGAATAAAAATTTTTTTATTAATGTCTTCGAGTTTTTTATTTATAATTCGGTTTGACAGTAGCTACAAAATAGACTATTGATATTAATTTTTAACAATTGTTGTTAATTTTAAGTAACAAAAACCAAAAAAATTGAGAAAAATTTTGTTTACTGTTATTTGTTAAAAAAAATAGTAAAAATCAATATTTTAATATGATAGTAGTCTATTTTGTAAGTATTTATGTGTAGAATATGTGGTTGAAATTTCAGAAAGATCGGCCAACAGGTTCCGAAAAAATCGTGCTGGCCATCCTTTAAATAAAAAATCTTACCAAAATTCAATCTGCGAGCCTTCGCCCGAAACAGTTAACACATCCCCGGGAATTCTTAGATACATATATATATATATATATATATATTCGAAAAATGTAACAAATAAAAAATCGAATTTTCAAAAGTGATCAACTAGACTACACCCTTAATAATTTTTAGCTACATATATGTATAATGATAAAGTAAATAAATATTTCAGGTAATCTTTGTCGTTGTACTGGATATCGACCTATCATCGAAGGTTTCCGGACCTTCACAGAAGAATGGGAACAGTCTCAACTGAATAACAAAATAAATAAAACCGAAAATTCGTGTGGACAAGTATGTGCAATGGGAGAAGCTTGTTGTAAAAAAGCCTTCACTTCAGAAGTATCACCAGAAACATTCAGTGCAAGTGAATTTAAACCATATAATGAGACACAAGAAGTAATATTTCCACCAAAATTAAAACTGTGTGATGATTTAGATAAAGAGTACCTTGTTATTAAAGGTAAAGAAGTAACATGGTATCGGCCAACAAAATTGAAAGAACTTCTTCTTTTGAAACAAAAATATCCAAATGCTAAAATAATAGTAGGAAATACTGAAGTTGGCGTTGAAGTTAAGTTCAAACATTGTACCTATCCAATTTTAATCCAATCTACACAAATAAAAGAGTTACGAGAGATAACAGTGACTGTAAATTCATTGAAAGTTGGTTCCAGTGTAACTTTGATGGAACTCGAGGAAGCTATGAAAGATCATATATCAATACATCCAGAGTACAAAACTCGAATATTTTCTGAAGCGATTAAAATGTTGCACTGGTTTGCAGGTAAACAAATTCGTAACGTTGCAGCTCTTGGGGGAAACATTATGACCGGAAGCCCAATATCAGACATGGTACCAGTATTAATGGCCGCTGGAACTAAATTAAATGTTTGTAGCTTAGATGGTTTTCGTCAAGTTCTACTGGACCACACATTCTTCACAGGATACCGTCGAAATGTTATCAAGCCTGAAGAAGTTTTAGTATCGATGGAAATTCCATTTACTGAAAAATCTCAGTACTTTATAGCTTACAAGCAAGCTAAACGAAGAGATGATGATATTGCAATTGTAAACATGGCACTTAATGTCATTTTCAAACCAAATTCCAATGAAATTCTAGAGATTCATTTAGCTTATGGAGGTATGGCGCCTACAACCAAATTAGCTGTAAAAACAACGAAAAATATGATTGGAAAAAAATGGAACACTGAATTATTGGAATCAACTTACCAGTCTATAGTTGATGAATTTCCACTACCTGACGACGTTCCCGGTGGAATGGTAAATTATCGTCGTTCTTTGACATTGAGTTTATTCTTCAAAGGATTTATCCACATTTTAAAACAATTACAAATTGATTTACCACATATCAATCAAATACCTCTCCCAAAAAAACTACAATCTGCTTCTGATACGTTCGATTACAAGCCACCTAAAAGTTCACAGTATTTCCAAGTAGTCCCTAAAGATCAAAGTGACAAAGATTTAATTGGTCGACCTATTGTTCATGCAAGTGCATTTAAGCAAGTAACTGGAGAAGCTGTTTACTGTGACGATATTCCTCACATCGACGGTGAATTATACTTGTCATTAGTGATGGCAACAAAAGCTCATGCTAAAATAGTTCACGTTGATGCGTCAAAAGCGCTAGCTATCGATGGAGTGGTTGCTTTTTTCAACGCCAAAGACATTCCAGAGCATAACCGCTGGGTTGGACCTGTTTATCATGATGAAGAAGTGTTTGTTTCAGAAAAAGTAACCAGCCAAGGCCAGAGTATCGGGGCTATTGTTGCTGTAGATCAAATTACTGCTCAAAAAGCTGCACGAGCAGTCATTATTGAGTACGAAGAATTGGAACCAATTCTTGTAAGCATTGAAGATGCTATTGAAGCTAAATCATTCTTACCTACCACACCAAAGAGCATCAAGCAGGGAGATGCTAATCGAGCTTTCAGTGAATCAGACCACATATTGGAAGGTGAAGTAAAAATGGGTGGACAAGAACATTTCTACTTAGAAACTCATGCAACTTTTGCAGTTCCAAAAGACACTGATGAACTAGAAGTTTATTGTTCAACTCAGCATCCATCAGAAGTTCAAAAACTTATTTCTCATGTTTTAGGTATTTCTATGAGTCATATTAATGTTAGAGTTAAACGTTTAGGCGGTGGTTTCGGCGGTAAAGAATCACGAGGCATGCTTGTTGCATTACCAGTGGCATTAGCTGCTTACAATCTACGCAAGCCTGTACGCTGTATGTTAGATCGTGATGAAGATATGATGATCAGTGGTCAAAGACATCCATTTATGTTTCAATATAAAGTTGGTTTCACCAAAGAAGGATTAATAAAAGTCGTTGAAATAAATATTTATAACAATGGCGGATATTCCGCGGATCTTTCGGTATCTGTATTGGAAAGATCGATGTTTCATTGTGAAAATGCCTATAAATTTCCGGTAACTCACGTAACTGGTTATGCTTGCAGAACAAATTTGCCATCAAATACTGCTTTTCGTGGGTTTGGTGGTCCTCAAGGTATGTTCGTAGCTGAAAATATCATATGGGATGTTGCTAATTATCTTGGAATAGAGCCAGAAAAAGTGTCGGAAATTAATTTGTACAAAGAAAATGACGTGACTCATTACAATCAACCATTGATACGGTGTCCATTGCAAAAATGTTGGCAGCAATGTATCGATTCGTCGAATTATCACGAACGCTATGCAGCTGTAGAAAAATTCAATCAAGAAAATCGGTATCGGAAGAGAGGAATATCAGTTGTCCCTACTAAATTTGGTATTGCCTTTACAGCATTGTTCCTGAACCAAGCAGGTGCTCTGGTTCATATTTACAATGATGGTTCTGTTTTAATAAGCCACGGCGGAACTGAAATGGGTCAGGGGCTTCACACAAAAATGATCCAAGTTGCTAGTCGCTTGCTTAAAATAGATCCAAATAAAATTCACATTTCTGAAACAGCTACTGATAAAGTACCAAATACATCAGCAACTGCAGCTAGTGCTGGATCCGATTTGAATGGAATGGCTATTATTGATGCCTGTAATAAAATAATATCACGTATTAAACATATTATGGATGCTAATCCATCAGATACTTGGGAAAAATGGATATCAAAAGCTTACTTTGAACGAATTAGTCTCTCAGCTACTGGATTCTATCGTACTCCTGACATTGGATTTTCATTTGATACTATGTCGGGAATACCATTCAATTATTTTACTTACGGAGTCGCTTGTAGTGAAGTTGAAATTGATTGTTTGACGGGTGATCATCAAGTTTTACGTACAGACATAGTTATGGATTTAGGTGATAGTTTAAATCCTGCGATAGACATCGGTCAAGTTGAAGGAGGCTTTATTCAAGGGCTCGGTTTGTTTACTCTGGAAGAGCTTATTTATTCTCCAACCGGAACACTGTACAGCAGAGGTCCTGGAGCTTATAAAATCCCTGGATTCACAGATATTCCACAGGAATTTAATGTCTCTCTTTTGAGAGATGCGCCTAACCCGAGAGCTGTATTTTCATCAAAAGCTGTCGGAGAACCTCCATTATTTTTAGCTTCTTCTGTATTTTTTGCTATTAAAAATGCTATACAATCAGCTCGGAAAGAAACAAAAAACAGTAGTTTGTTTAGACTGGATTCACCTGCTACAGCTGCGCGTATTCGAGTTGCTTGTGCTGATGACTTAACTGAAAAGGTAAGCATTAATTTGATACTCTTTATATTTAAACAATAAAGATTAATCTAATCCTCGAGGTTCATCAATCAATTGATTTACTTTTATTTTCTGTTGCAGTTTCCTACAGCAGACATTACAAAAGCTTGGAATAAAATTCCATAAATTAAAAAACTATTCAATGTTAATTAATTATATTTGTAATTATAATCAAAGTATATACATTACTTACAAATTATTGAATAAATTTATTATAACTATTTTTACATACTGCTTATCCCAGACTTTTCAACAGTTTCTAATAAATTTATTAAATTTGTTTCAAATAATTCACATCTTATCGGCATGTCCAAAGAATAAAATGGATTCTTTAATGCGTAATCTGCATAGAGTTCATAAACACGCTTTGTGAGAATTTCCATACCGGGCTGAGACGGTTCAGCAACTACCATAAATTTAACGCCAGTCAGTGTTTGAAAACAGTAGAGTCTAAATGTGTCAGCTTCTAATATTTCAATACCAGAGCAACGAGGCTCTGGACTCAATTGACTAGCTATTGCGAATAATGGATAAAACATTGATGCTAAGAAAATCTTCTCATTCGTTGTCATTTTTGCTCGACCGAACTTCAATGTTAATGGAAAGTTTTCAGGCTGTTCAAAAAAATTAAATACATCTCGGCCGTCTTCGAGTTCTTTTCCTGCCACAGGACTTCCATTTACTGATATCAAGACGTGTCCCACTGAAATAAAAAAAAAATATATATATTAATGACAGCAAAATTAATTTACTAGAAAGTGTTTTTAAAAAATTGTATGACATTAAAGTTAGCAGTCGTTCAACAATTTTTTAATTTTATTTTAAAAAAAAATTTGTTCCAAAAAATCATTTTTAAAAGATTGCATTTTTTATTTTTTAAAATTTCTACATGTCAATTTTTTTTTTTTTGTCATAATTTATTTGTTATGCAATTTTTTTAATTATTAAACATTAAGCTAAATTAATTTTCGTAAATTGTATTTATAATTTTTTAGAACTTCTAAAGATGAAAATTCAAAAATAAACTTTTCTTATTATAATTTATTTGTTACTTAAATTATAAAATTTATCAGATGTCTTGCAATTTCAGTACCATAAATAAATTTTTTAAATTATAAAAAATTGAAAAAACAAATACAAAGTATTATACCAAGGATCACAAAAAAAATAATGACTTTTTGGTAGATTTTACTCAATAAGGAAATAAAAAATTCATAATTATCAACTTAAATTCAACATAAAAAATAAAATTAACAATAAAAAATTTGTGCTGCTTGGGATGTCGTATAAAAAAAGATGACACTGAAGTTGACAGATAAGTAATAGAAATTTTTTTAGAATTTTATAGCAGTAAAATTATGAAAAAAATTCAAAAAAAAATTTCGCATCTGAAAATTAAAAAAAAAATTATAAGTGGAAATTTTTTAAAGCATTTTTTAATTGTCATTGATTTGTTATAATAATTAAAAAAATTGACAGCTGTCAGCTAACTTTAGTATCATAAAAATAGATATGTAATTATCCACATAAACAAAATGTAAGAGTAAAATAAAAACAAGTAAATTTTTACCATTAATTCCATCTCGTTGACTAAAAGCAACAACAACTTTTTTATTTTCATATGTTAATTTTAAATCTAATGGATACGAAAAACTTTGTTCGTTTTCAATTTTCGGAACATTGTGGTCATGGTTAAAAATTAAACCACCGGACTTAGAGACGATGTAAACACCATATATAACCATGATTGTTGTTTTCTCAATAAGTTCGAATCATGGGAACGTGTGAAACAATTATTTTTAAGCTTAGTGATTATCTTTGTAGATAACAAAAAAAAAATAATTTTTATTTTAAATAAATAAAGTCAATCAAATATTAACCAGAAATAACTGACACAAAACAAAATAATATTTCTCTTACTCAATAACTATTCAATACACACAATAAATATTTGACATCTGGCGATGTCAGTATAGGTAGAAACACTCGTCAACTCTAGTGATGTAAAGATAAATATGCTAAGAGATGGCGTTAGTTGGTCAATTGATGTGGCGGTACTGTCAGCGCGGTCACGCCTCTAGTGGTAGACTCGCAACTAAAAACGCCTCAACACCGCCAAGCGGCAACAACTGGGACCACTCAACGTACTGTAGATCTCACACGGATATACACAAATAAATCGCTGAAGATACCACCACAGCTGTGGCATCCAAATAATCTAATTAATCCAATTAAAGTTTATTAAATAATAATTAATCATTTAAATATATTTTGTTGACTAATAAATAATAATAATAATCGTATCACTTTGGTCTAGTAATTTTTAGTATAGTGTATTCCCTTTGAATCCACATTGAAAAAAAAATAAAAAAATTCTTGTAAGAATTGTAATACACAACACTCGAATAATAAATAGGAAAATTAATATAAAACCACAGTAAAACAAGATTGAATACAATAATTGAGACCCGTAGAGTTAAAATTTTAGAGTTGATTCGCAAAAATGCACCAAATACTAGAAAAGTTACATCCTGTAACTTGATGATTAATTTCCTCAACAAATATAGATATATATAGATTAACTTAAAGGTCAGGTAGAAAATAATTAGTAGTCTAACATAAAAATTTAACTAGAATATATATTTTTAAAAAAATAACTTAAAACAAAAAGATTTTTATTCTATAAATTGTAACAGGTGATAAGTCTACTGAAGAAATATGATCAAAAAATATTCGTAAATTAACAGTCGAATGTTAATATTTATCAATTACTGTATGTATAGTAATTAATAAAATGCTAAAAAAATCAAATGCCTCATGTTAATTAATTATTTTCTTTGCAAATAACTTTAGGCCACAAATGATATCGGAAAATTGGCCTGTAAAAAAATTATTGTCACGCAATACTAATACATAAAATGTTGTTTTCTGTGTCAGCCATTTTATATTCTACAATAGTAGCCTGAATTTGAGGGGAAAAAAAAAAACAAACAGTCACTACTATACAAAAATTCTTCTTTTTACATGAAAATTTACTCTTGCGGAATGTGAAGCCATTTGTGTGAACATTACCGTCAACTAACAACAAGACGCCTATGGTCTTATTTGAGTCATAATTTTTACATTTTACAATTAATAAAAATTATAAATTACTAAAAGTAATATTTACTATAACAATACAAATTGAAGGAAGACAAAAGGTAACATTCTATTTTTTAAGTTAACAATGCACAGAAAACAAAAGATTATCTTAAGCTAATTATTTACTCCAAAAAAATTGTTGTGCGAATATAACCAACTTTTATTTTTAATAATAATTTTTTTTTTCTTAAAAATACAGTTGAGCAGTAGGGTAAAAGCTCCAAATATTGTCTAGTCTAAATTAAATGAACATAAATAGATTGTTTGTAAATTTCTTGAAAGAATTTATGAACTGAAATGAGTGTTTTTTTTTTAAGCAATGATGGTAAGAAGAACTAGTACATTTTAATTTCAAGTATCCAATAAAGGACAAATAGATTTTTGTATTTTTAAATTGAAGCTTGAATAATTCTAATGAAATTAAATTTTAGTGGTGGGTACTTTTTACTTAGTTTGCCTTTCAGGGGTTAACTTATAAACTCAGATACTTTTCATTGTAAAATACATAATAATAAACATTAAATTGTAATAATTAACGTTACTGCCGATTGCTTCTAATATTGGCCATTATTTACTACATCAATACTTCTAGATTTGTGAATAACTTTATTTTTTGATCTATAATAGTTTCAACATTAGATAATCTATTCATTGACATGTTCATATTTTCAGTATTTTGTTGTAGTTAATTGTTCTGTAATTCTGGTATAATATCATCTTCAATACTCCTATTGAAATCAATGGCCGAAACCACACTAATATTAGGTAAATTGAATAATTTACAATACCGCACAATTGTTGACCAGAGTAATATTTCAATTATTAGCACACAAAAATCGTTGATAATCTTCGATATTCAATTGTCTTGACAAATACTTATTTAATGATTGTGAAGTATTTTATTTTATATAATATTAGGCCTCTATAGATTTTTCTTATTCTTTTAACGTTTATCTTTCAAAACTGCTGACGGTGATGTTCATACGCCAGCGTCTGGACACAGCTCACCATGTTACCAGTTTATTCCCGTGGCGTAATGATACTTAAAATTGCAATGTATCTTCTTTAACACCTTTTTAATCAGTTACAGAATGGTACTCATAGAATACAGTACGGATTGTTATATATTCCTTGTAACAGAAAACACTTGAGAATTATAGAATTATAATTAAAAATTTTACTTTAATTTTATGTTATAAAATTAACTCCAGAATAAATTCTAACAATTTAGTTAGAATTTAACAGTTAATAATTAGTTTTTTAGTTGAAGTGCAACTTTATGTTATCAAATAAACAATTAAATATGACTATAGTTTAGACATTAAAATTTGTGTAAGCTATTTAGAAGAAAGTTGAATCTTTTTCCCCAAGGCATAACAATAAATTGATCATAAATGTATACTTACCAAACACGGCAAGATTAAATTCTAATGATTAATTTTCATAACTTTTTCACATTTACATAAACTTATTTTCTTTTTTATTATAACAACGGCATATATTTATGTGTATGTGCAAATTTTTAATTCAAATATAATTAAAAATTAATAGTTACGTGCTGAACATAAAATTAAATTACTAGATATTTTAAAATCAAGTTGTCATGCTGTCTAGTCAATATTTGGTTCTTTTACTCCAGTCTAATATCTAATTCCATCATCAATATTAAAAATTTAATTAAATATTGATAGATTTGGATATTAAAAGTTTTTTTCAAATTAATATACATCAATTTTGTACTTTAAAGGGGAACACCACTGTGACGATCGAAAAAAAGAGGTAATTTTCGGGAATTTTTTTGACAGGGAAAATAAAGGAATTTGGGGATCGGATTTTTTTTTTATTTTATTAAGGGTACATTAAAGATTATTATCCTAAATTTTTATTAAAAAATTATTTAATTATTACAAAGTTATTAACAATCTCGTAGAGCACTAGAAAAAATTTCCCCCTCCGTGGTCGGTTCGATAACTCAAAAACGGATCATCTGAAAATAAAAACCCAAAACCCCATTTTAAAAAAAATGGCGACTGATTGAAAATTTTCTCACTATTCTTATTGTTTTTTTTTTTTTTTTTTGTTTTTAACCTGGCTAAAAAAATCTTTAAAATGAAAATTTTTCAAATTACGTACGTGAGACGATAATTACATCTTTACTGATTAAAAAGCAATTTGGGTTTCTATTTTCAGATGATCTATTTTTGCCTCTTTTTTTCGATCGTCACAGTGGTGTTCCCCCTTAAATTTCCAATTAAAATATTTATTTATTTTTTTTTTTTATAGAAAATTAAAAAATGGAGATGAATGCAGGAAATGCGAGGATCCCACGACGTGTTTATGAAAATGGAAATCAACAATATTCCATGATAGACTTTGCAAAAAGTAAATACGACAGAAGTCTTGTGCATAAGTATCAAGTTGAAATTTGGCACGGTAAACAAGAAAACAAGTACATACTGTATCGTAGTTGGGGTACTTCCAAAGCTCATATTAAATACGAAAAGAAAAAACACTGGAGTTTAGAGACTTGTTTAGTTAAATTTAAGTTATTTGTGTCGGCAAAAATAAAGAAACTAATTTTTGCAACTCTTGACGCCAATTATCGGCCATGTCAAGTACCACTACCGATACAATGTTTGTTAAAAGATATTTTGGATGTAAATATTATCCAGAAAATTTCAAAGATTTATGATATTGATGAAGAATTGTCAGTCCCAGAAGATTTAAAAATTAATTTAGTAATGGAATTCATGAATGAGGATGTTGAGTTTCAGCTTATCAATAAGAGCGACAGAAAATTATTCCGTAATCCAATGAACGTTTATTACAAAAATTTGCATACCACGATTGAAATTTTAGATAAAAAAAGCCCACGGTTTAAAATGATTGAGAAGTATGTCAAAAATACACATGCGATCACGCATGACCACTATTCAATTAAGATTGACAATGTTTTTCTTGTTCAACCTCATGACATCAAGAAATACAAAAAAAATTTGCGCAACAAAAAATTACTGTGGCATGGTACAATAAAGACAAAAATTTCCTCTATTTTGGCCAACGGCTTGCAATTACCCGACCCATCAGAACGCGGCTTGATGTTCGGACCAGGGATCTATTTTAGTAATTGCGTATCAAACGCTGCTAATTACTGCAACACTGATGCTAAAGTTCCTAATGGAGTGTTGTTGCTCTGTGAAGTAGCTCTTGGAACTATGTTAGAGAAGTTCAGAGCAGAAAATGATCTGGTAAAATTGCCTGATGACAAACATTCAGTTTTTAGCAGAGGAGTTCTGACGCCGGAGCCAACCGAAGTGACAATCATCCCTCAGAATGTTGAAGTTCCCTATGGAAAGTTGGTTACAGTAGATCTGGCTCGTTCTGCTAAATTACGTCATGATGAGTTTATTGTTTATGATCCTAATCAAATTAAAATTCGTTACATGCTAACGGTTCATTTTGAGTACGTTTAGAAAATGAATTATTTTTTTTATTTAAACAATATGAGATCTGTTAAATTTTTAGTTCTTTTTTCTATGATTAAATATATATTTTATTTTTATTTTGTATTATTAAACGTACTCAAAACTTCTAATTTGTCAAGTAAATGATGTTATGAACAGTGAAACAATTTTTTGATGTGTTCATGTATTTCTTCAATTTTTTTTCTAAATAAATAAATTCAAAATCGAAGTAAAAATTTATGATTCTGAAATCAGCATCAGACATTTGACAATTTTTAAAATTTTTTCAGCAAATTAATTATGATAAAAAAAAATATTTTTGGAAATTCGCATTTAGGTACAATATTTTTAAATTTTTAAGTGAAATTTTTTTGATTATTATTTAATTTTTATAAAAATCTAAAAAAATTGCAAGATATCTGTTGATTTCAGTGTCACAAGTAAATTTCTATGGTAAAATAATAATTTGGATGATTATCATGTAAATTTTTTTTTGCAAAAACAATTAAAAAAAATTAAAGCAAATAATTTGATTTTGTAATAAAAATAAAATAAAATTATTATTTTCAAATTTATATCGGCCATTTTTTTTCTGATCAGCGTTCTCTGGCGGGTAACCACAAATATAAAATAAAAGTCCCATACCCATTGTAATTGTACTTTCTTTTTTGTCTTGGTCTTCACGATGTCCGTTTCGGTCAATTGAACTATTTGAGATATAATAATTAGCGTAAATTATAAATCATAGTAAAACAACGATAACAGGTAGTTAAACGTTAAACCTCGAGAATTGTTTATTCATCAATTGTTAGATACACTATAAATATAAGGTAATTGTTATTTGTCATAAAAGTAAGGTTAAGTTTTATGATGCCGAATCGGTATAGACATTCAACTTGAAAAATAATTTTTAGATTATAATTTTTGAAAATTTCAATGAGTAAAATAAAAATTTTTTTTCTATAAAATTTCATCAGTAGAAAAGAATTACTAAAATTTTTAGATGTATATTAAATTTTATGATACTGAAATTAGCTGACAAAGAATGATTTATTGGATTTTTTTCAACAATTGAATTATTATAAAAAAAATGTTATGAAAAATTCCATTTAAAGATGTTTCCAAAAAGTATTTTTTTAATTTTAAAAAAAAATTTTTTTACTAATTGATTTATTGTAAAAGTCTAAAAAATGATAAGACTCTGAAGTTAACTGACATTAGAAATTTTTTTATAATTTTATGCAGTGACATTATGAAGAAAGTTTAATTAAAAAATTCCACATGTGAAAATTCACAAAAATTATTGTCCTCGTTGCACTCATGATTATAAAGCACTTGCAGTTTTGTGTTTTTTTTTTTAACAAATGAAAATTTTGAAAAAAACGCTCTGTTATAAAATAGATAATTAAAAAATCTATTACGTAGTAAGACGTTTTTTTCAAAATTCTTTTTTGTCTAGAAGAGAAATATAAAGCTGTCGCAGAGACCGGCTATTTAAAGAAAAAAAATTAATGTTTAAAAAACATAATAAAAATGTAACCTGGAAAAAATTAATTTTCAACTGTTCATTTCGTTGAAATAAAAACAAAATTTATTTTGAAAAAATGCTCTTTTAATTTATGAAAAAAATAAACAAAAGTAAAGCATTTTTTTTAATTTATGTATAATGTTTGCATGCTTGTAGATGGAAATTTAAATTTGGTGGATATAAAAAAAATTATAAATATTTTGAATTTATAAAATTTATAAAGATCGAATAAAGAAAAGCATCTTTTTTTCGTTTAGAACATCTTCTCACAACTTATAGATAACTTGCGAGAAGATTTGCGAAAAGAAAAGAAATGCTCATAAAAATTAAGAGAAAAATGTAACATTACTAGAATTTCATTCATTTTCGTCGATATATATTTCCAAATGAAATTTTATTTTGAAAATTACAGCTTAGAAAATCACTTGAATAATCATTTTAAAACAATGCTCGTGAAGAAAATTCTAATACGTGCCATTACCACTTTTCAAAACTAAAGTATTTTTTTTTTTATTGTAATTGATTTGTTTCATTAAATTCTACTTAAATAATGACAATGTTATTTTGAACTTTTTTTTTTGTCAACAGCTGCTTATTCAATCAACGATTAATTTGATCGCGCAAAAACATGGCCGAATTATCCTTGAAAAATTGTCTCGACGACTCCATAAAATTTTACAATAAATCTTCATACGAAAATGAAACATTTGTGTACAATAGTCGGAAGCGCCGATACTCGATGACTTTTTGGAAGTATGATCCCGACTGCGAGAACAGAATCCGTTACTACAGACAACAGATTCTGGCTTATTACTTTGGATACGGTGGAAACAATCACTACGATGAAGACGAGTACGTCTATGTTCAATATGGCGGAGTGCTGGGAACTTCGAACCATTTCACAGTGTCTGAACGGATGCCGCTCGAGTATTGTCTCGAAAGATTTGACAACTCAGTTGTAGCAAAAGGATATGAAAATTTCAAGTCTCTGGTTTCGTTTGAAGGAAAAGAAACTGACGTGGAGATGCCGTACGCTACTCAGTTGTTGATCCAATGTATTTTTCAAATAAAAATTGGTGAAATTTACAACAATGGCTGGTACAAACATTCGTTCAATAATTATTATAAAATGCTACGCACAGACATTGAGGTGATGTGGAAGAACAGCTCGACCTTTGATTTAATTAAGCAATATATTGAAAACACACACACTGAAAATCATTATTTCTTCAAAATAAAAATTAACGATGTCTACATGATTAAAAGACATGGCGAAGAAAATGGGTATAAAGGGACTTTACTTCCAAAGAAATTGATCTGGCACGGAACAAAAACAGAAAATGTTGCGTCTATCTTATCAAGAGGTCTCGAAGTTGCGCCTCCAAGCTCTGAGTCAACTGGTGCTCACTTTGGCCAGGGAATTTACTTTACCAACTCGTCTTCAAAAGCTGCAAGTTACTGCGGGGCTAGACGGAAGCAGAGGACTTATGAAGGAATATTGCTTCTCTGTGAAGTTGCTTTAGGTCATATGGCACAATGTTATACTGCACAAAATATGTGTCCGCTTCCGACGCAGTTTAACTCTGTATGGGGAGTTGGACACTTTGCACCTGATCAAAATGTAAAGACAATTCTTTGGAACGATGTGGAAGTACCTTACGGACCAATTATTGAACGCGCAAATACCGATACTGATTTGGCTCACGATGAGTTTGTCGTTTATGATCCTAAACAAATTAAGATCAGATATCTCGTTCATGTTAATTTTGAGTACAACGACTATTATGATTATGATGGTAATGACGATTGTGATTGTCATGATGATGATGATTATGATGATGATGATGATGATGATGATGATGATGATGATGATGATGATGATGATGATGATGATGATGATGATGACGACGACGATGAGGATGATGATTATTATTACAATTAATGTTACTATTAAGTTATCATTTTACTTCACACAAGAAGATATAGCAGTGTATTTTTAATATTCCTGAGTATTTTAAAATATTATAGAGCTATTTTTTAAGAATTGTTCTTAAATTTAAAGAACTATAAATGGTTATAAACAGACTTGGTTCTTTAATTTGCTTAAATTGTTAAGATTATTGTACTTGATAACATTTCTAGTTTGATGAATCGAAAAAATTATTTTTCAACTAGATTTTAAAGTTTATTGTGCACTTGTTTTTGAAACTAATTTTTAACTTATAAATTCTTATAAGGATTTATTATTAAAATATTTAAATTAAATATTTTAAATTTCATCGATAAGTATTATTTAAGCAAAGATTAAACTTGATTTTATTCTAATTTAAGTTCAGTTTTTTTCAAAATGATTTAATTTAAATTACTGTTTTTTATTATTTCTAAGATACTGACGAATCAGATAAAATGTGTGGGTACATTACAGATATGTGATATCAATGTTTATAATTAAGGTGCATAAAATATATGTTTGTGTTTTGACAATGTAAGAATATCTATTCATTTTGTTCTTTAATATTTAAATACATAATATTTTAATAAGAATATTATTAAACTTTATTATTTTAGCAAAAAATTTAACAAAAGTAAAATATTTTTGAAAAATGCATAGTATTTTATTTTAATCATTAATTTTTACTTTAAAAATAAACTTAGGGTTGAAAAAAAAAATATTGACTTACTATACGAATACAAATAAATCAAAAAAATTAAAGTTTTGTCATGCTTTTTTTGAAACTTCATTTTTTTAAAATAATAATCTTTAGGTGTAGAGTTTTAAAAAATTATAATTCTGCCGTCCTTTAATTCAAGCACCAGTCTATACCTAAGTCTTTTGCAGTAATAAAACTAAGGTCGAGTTACTATCAGAGTATTTATCTCACTGTCCGCATCAAAACAAAATAAAATTGCTGCGCAATATCGAGCAGGCAGTATTCGCTGGGTGCGTGACCCCACCGCCACCTAACGATACAACTTACGGTGGCTTTTTTAAGAAAATTTACATGTATTGAGCTTGTTCAGCCGAACTAAGTCCTGAGTAAACTTAGTTAGCCTAAGTATAGTCAAAGCATTCCCTGCTATACATATATCTATCTACTATACTATACATATCTTACTAAGTTTACTCAGGACTTAGTTCGGCTGAACACGCTCATTAGATGCCAAATAGTTATTTAACCCTTTAGAGTCAGAGGATCTTGAAACGTCTTCGCGTGAGAGTAGTGGGGAGAGCGCAAATCCATAGTAAGACCCAAGAGTGCGGTTTCAAGGTCAGACTCTAAAGGGTTAAACAATTAAATAAACTTGAAAAAAATTTTTTTCGATGTAAAATGTGACATATTACACAGAATGTAGATTAAATTAAAAATTTTTTCTTGGGTCAGTTGGAAATAGTAATAAGGAAAATAAACATAATAACTAAAACAAATCTCAAGTGAATTAGGTTATAATGAGTGTTAAAATCTGTCGAGATGTTTATTGTTAAATTAATATTAAATGAAAAATCAGTATTAATATTAAATATATAACAATCTGAAATTATATAAAAAATAACTAATAGCTATTTAACATAATTATATATTTACGAATGTATTTTAAATTTTTATTTTCTTTATTTAATTTTGCAATTTATTACCCATAATACTATTTTTCAACCACAAACTTTAATAAAGGATAAAAATTTAGTCCTGGCTGAACATATGAGAGATGTTGAGCAGCAGCTATCCATTTTTTTCGCTGATTTAATTTACAATTTGCAACCGGAAACTTATAAAATTTACAATTACTATTTCTACTAGTATTTTTACAATCAACTATACAACAATTTTGATGACCCATTATATTTTATTTATTTAATTAAACTAACACACGTGTTATTTTCATAGCTTTTAGTAATAAAGAGCCACCCTTAGTTCTGTGTTGTCCACAGCGGACGCTGCCCTAGCGGATCTATATACACCATGTAAACTCGGTGTATACTTAGTGTCAGTGTTAATATTAATTAGGGGTTTATTTGGTGTATACTCTGTGCATATTGAGTATACTCCAAATACACTCCAAGTTTACACTGAATTTACACGGTGTATATGCGCACAATATACACGGAATTTACACCGAGTAGGGTGAAGTATCCGATACCCAGCCCCCACCCAGTAGCCAGCCCCTTTTTTATATCCTAATATAAAATAGAGATGAAATGTATGTGGCATCAAACTATTCGTAAAGTGATTGGTTGAATATATCATAAGCATGAAAATATCCTAATATAAAATAGAGATGAAATGTATGTGGCATCAAACTATTCGTAAAGTGATTGGTTGAATATATCATAAGCATGAAAATATATGCAAACTCTACAGTCAAGGCGCGCGCTTGCGCGCGTAAATTCAAATTCTAGTCCTAATATAAAATTGAGATGAAATGTATGTGGCATAAAACTATTCGTAACGTGATTGGTTGAATATATCATAAGCATGAAAATATATGCAAACTCTATAGTCAAGGCGCACGCTTGCGCGGGTAAATTCAAATTCTAGTATTATTAAATAAATAATTAAATTTGAAACAGTAACGGAAAAAGAAAATTTTAAAATTACCACCCATTCTTTTAGTACCAATAATGACCGCTACAACATTTAGCGTAAGTATCGTATATGAAAACAAAGCATGAGTATATACTATTCTCGTTCTGAGCGGCAACTGGCGCTATTTTCTTAATTATTTGTTTACGTTCTCCTACTGATTGCAAGTTATTTACAAAAGATTTAATACGAAAATTAACAAAAGGTGAGTTATGTTCAATTAAAAATATATTGTTTAAATAATTTTGATAATAATTTGTGACATTTAATGCAATATAATTGAAAATTATAGAGGCTGGATATGAGGTTCATTTTTGACATTTTTTCCATCACTCAGCCGGGGGGGGGGGGGCTGGGTACTGGTTATTTAGATTAAATAATGTTTATCCTAATGCTCAGCCTCTTAAAAAATTCAAATTTAAATTGTTAGAAGTGTTTTTTTTTTGTTGAATTAAATTACAATCTAATTAATTTACAATCTAAAATCATTTTTTCAGAAAATATAAATGTTTCATGCTTGCAAAAAAAAGTTAAACTCCGGAAAAAAAACGTTACGAAAAAAAAATAAAACTGAAAAACCTGTAAAGAAGCAATATAATTAAGATCAGTTAATGAAGGCGTTGTGTGACATTAGGAGCGGTATGGCGATACGAACTGCTAGCCGTCAATATAATATTCCTCGAGGGACTCTTCAAGATCGTCTTCATGGTCGAGTATCTGAAGATATTGGTAGGAAGGGGCCCAACACAGTACTCACAGCACTTGAAGAAAAAGCATTGTCAGATTGGTGTAAGAATTTAGTCAAGTGTGGATTTCCCTTGAAAAAAGATGACTTATTAAATACTGTAGCACAAATAATTAAAAAAGATGAACGAAAAACACCGTTCAAAAATGATCGTCCAGGATTGAAGTGGTACAATGGTTTCATGAAGAGACATAACTTGACATCTAAGACTCCTGAATCTATTAGCAAAGGTAGGGCTGTAATTACTGAAGAACTAATCAAGAACTGGTTTATTGGACTTCAAAATCATCTTAAAGATGAGAATGTAGAAGATATTCTTGACGACCCAGCAAGAATGATAAATGGTGACGAAACAAGTCTTCAGCTTTGCCCGAAAACAGGAAAAGTTATTGCTCCAATTGGATATAAAAATGTTTACCAAGTTTCAACTGGTCCAGAGAAAGAAGCTATCACTGTACTACTTTTTTTCACTGCAAGTGGAGAAACACTTCCTCCATGTGTTGTGTTTCCCTATTTACGTCTTCCAAGAGATATCATTGAAAGTTTACCTGAAGGATGGATATTAGGAAAATCAGAAACTGGCTGGATGAAAACTGATGTATTTTATGATTATTTTGTCAAATCATTAAATCCATGGTTATCGGAAAAAAATATCAAGAAACCAGTTCTTGTGTTAGTTGATGGACATAAAAGTCATTTGACTTTAAAAATAAGTGAATTCTGTGCTAAGAATCAAATAATACTTTATCCTTTACCACCAAATACAACTCACATGATGCAGCCTGCAGATGTTAGTGTTTTTAAACCGTTAAAAAGTGAGTGGAAGAAAACTGTTCGTGAGTGGCAAATGCAACCAGAAAATGTAAATTGTAAATTGTCATGACTTTACCAAATGTGTACAGAATACCCGAGAAAATTTATCTAATGCTAATATTGATACGAATATTAATAATATTCCTGACGATAACAATACAACTAATAATACGACTACTAATATTGATACTAATTATAAGAGTTTAGAGTTATCTAATACTGAAAATTTTAAGGATCCGTTTGAAGTGACAATTGAAGTGATTTCGTCTATTAAACATTTATTTCTAGATGATGGCATTGATTATCGTCAAATATTGTCTACTATTAATGATGCAAAATCTTTGCAAGATAACAATTTGAATTCTTCAGCAATCATCAACCACGTGAATTTACATGCAACAAATAACAGTGTTGATGAAAATATTTCTGTGGTGATACCTTCAACTAGTAAATCTAATATTACTGATGACCACTTAGAGTTATACAGTGAAGATAGTGTTGCCGTAGAAATTGTAATTTTTGAGGGTTTCGTGGCTGAAAATGGATCAGTAGAGGAAATTGGCGTAAATAAAGAAAATGTCGATATTTTAAATTTAATTCTAGTCAATGACGGCAATATTATCAATAATACTAGTGATGACAAGAATGATTGTAACAATAATATGAGTGATAATAATAATAATTATATTTTTAAGAATCTTGATGCGTCCGAAAATACCATAAAATCGCTTGGATTGTCTGAAGAATTTAAGAAAAATCTTATAAACCCTCCACCTATTCCGAAAAATATGCGCTCAAAAGTAT